CTGGATATCCCGACACTGGCCTGGTCAATTACATCGCACCCAGCTCCGGGTTATGTCGAGATCCCGCGCGGACTGTCCGCGGAAGAGATCGCCTTCGTCCAGGAGGAATGCAATAAGCTCGTCTTCGAGGGCCGTAGTGTGTACGTCGAGGTCGAGGAGCTTGATGCGGACAGCCATGCGTACAAAGGACCAAGCGTGGGCATTCCGCAAGACTACACCGGAGGGGTCAAGCGGACGGTCGTCATTGACGACATTGACCGCAGCCCGTGCGTGGTCATCCCTGCATGTGCACCTGCGTCAGACAGGAACAGCTGACCGACAACTTGTATGTATGTAGATGTTGCGGAACACACGCACCGACGTTGCACAACCTGCAGCTGTTCGTCCTCCCGCACACGGAGACACTCTCCCGATCGGCCACCAGCTCTGTCCGGCTGTACTTTCTCTCCGGCCCGCGGCTCCTCACCCATCTCACCTCCTCGCACGCCCTGCTCACGGCCACAGCCGGCATCATGAGCTGCGGTCCCCCCTCAGTACCCGACCGAGTGCAGCAGGTGGTCGACGAGCGCAAGAAGGCGACGAAGCGCGTCGAGGACCTCGAGGCAGAGCTCGCCGCGTCCGTCGCCGCCGAGCTCGCGTCCGCCGCCCCAAGGGAGAGCGGAGCCATCGTGCTGCATAAGCACAGGACAGACGACAACACGAATGCGCTTGGTTTTCTGTCGTCCATTACGACGGCGTTCTCGACCAAGGTCAAGGAGGGAGTGCCGTTCTTGCTCGTGCTGTCGTCCTCGCCGTCAGCGCAGACAGGTACAAGCACGACCGTGGTGCTCATCTTCGGGTCGGATGACAAGAAGGTGAAGGAGGTTGGCGATGAACTAAAGGCGAAGCTAAACGTCAAGGGTGGCGGAAAGGGATCACGATGGAGCGGAAAGTTCACTGGCGGATGGAAGGAGGCGAAGGAGGGCCAGGCGGTGGCGAGTGTCCTAGAATCCTTGCGGTTGTAGAGGGTTCCCTGCGTGAGGGCATAGACCCTATGGATGCAGTGGTTCTGTAATGTAGAGGTCAAAGAGGTCACTATTACACAATGATGTACAACAAAACTATATCGATGAGTGTGAAATCATGGGTGAATGTACTGGAGGCGGGTGCTCAGTGGCCGGGTTAATTACTTCGGCTCAGCGGAGTCGTCTCGGGGTGCTTGGAGGACGCCAGGGTTCTCCCCGCTATCGCTGTAGACACCGGCACCTGTGAACAATGTCAACAACACACCAGATGGCGATTGGCATCAACGAGACCATACCGTCGTCCTCTGACGGGAGCTCCCCGCTCATCGCTAATCCTTCCACCTCCGAGACGCTCTCGGAACCGTCCCCGTCGCTTAAACCCCAGTTCTCCATGCTCGCATTCGCCGCCTGCGCCTCCCATTCCTCAAGATCAGCATCTTCCTCTATATCCACATCGGGATCGAGATCCTCCTCGACGTCCATGTCGTCGAACGCGGAGTCGGTCTCCATAAACGCCTCCGAGTCGGTGTCGAAGAAGACGTCGTCATCCTCGTCGTCCTCGTCGTCGCCCGGCACGTAGTCGCCGTCACTAGACTCAACGTCCGAGTCCGAGGGCGGTTTGATGCTGGAGAAGACGTTCCGACACGACGGGCATGTTCCGTGCTGATTGAATTGCGGGGGAAGCGTGAGTGAGTCCGAGAAGAACGGACTTTGAGAGGGCAGGCACTTACTCGTCCCCGAATCCACTCGACAAGGCTGGAACAGAGTCAGACTTCAGTACCAAAACAGAGGAGTAGACTGCAGAGTGACACACCAAGCTCTGCAGAATATGTGCCCGCATCCGACCAGCTTGGTCACCCCGGCCAGTTCGTCCGACGTCGACGGTGCCTCGCCCAATCCTTCATGCGCTTTCCCCTCCAGAACAGCGTCAAACGGGTTGATGCAGATGGGACACGAGTCGTCCAAGGGTATCTCCTCCTTTGCTAGTACCGGCAGGCGGCTAATCGCCAATTGAATGCGCTCTTGCACCGAAAGGTGAAGCTCCGCGACCTCCAACGCTTCGTCGTGATCCATGGCTCTCCGAGAGTCGATGTGTCGTGGTAGGGTCGTCAGATACAGTCCTATGCCGCTGTTTCAGCGAGGCATGGGGTCCAAAGCGAGGCAGAGGACGAGAGACAGGCGGAAACAAGGGCACTCAGCCGAGAAGACGGCAGGGAATAGGAGCGAACACGCGGGCGTCTGAGCGTGGCGGCTGGGACAACGCGTAAACAACGTTCGCGTCTGTCACGTGCGCGTGCCAGTCAACTCGCGACACGCGTCGACGCCGACGCCGACGAGCTCGCTCCAGCCTCCTGCCCTTCAAGTCACTGGCATATGCCTCTGGTAAGTCTTGACTGCAGCCTTGTACTTGATGGTTATGCTGAAGATATGGCCTGTAGGTGATACGAAGTGCATGGCCCTTCAATACGGTGAGCATACCGTGACTTCCGAATCCTCTGGCACTGGCAGTACTCACTGCATCAAAGAACACGGTCGTCGAAGATTGCTCGTCCACTAAAACCAGGTCAAACGTCCTTGTGAATTTTGCGTCCGTGGCACATGCTCTAGGCAATGGTTTTGGCTATTCGGACAGCAGATCTTGGCAGTGTCGCTGGCCCCACAACAAGTTCGATTCGCCTTGATAAGTGGACCTAGAGACATCGCGGCGAGCTCGCTCGCTCAAGTCAACTGACCCACACATCGACGCTAGCACAACGCGCGGGGCGACTTCGGCTGCCACGGACTGTCCTTCCCACCGGGACGCCTGCTCCATCCTGCTGTCCTTGTGATCACCTCCGCTGCCTCCCACGCGCTATATCAAGTATCGGCATTCCTCTTCCACCCGTTATAAGAAGCCGTGGTTTGCATTGACGTATAGCGGCAGTCCTGTCACTTTGCTGAGTCGGCCGGAATACCTCGACCTGATTTACTGGCAACCATGGTATCCTCGAAAGCCTCTTCTCTGGTCGAGGACAAGAACCCGGAGGTAGGCGTTAAGTCAACGGACGAGGACCCGGACGCCGAGTTTGGAGGACATGAAGCACGCAGGAAACTCGAGAAGAGACTCTTGCGCAAGCTCGACTTGCGCATGTCCATCTTAGTCGTCATCTACATCCTGAACTACGTACGTCGTGTGTACTCTCTAATGGTATTCTTCACTGATCACTCTTCCCAGATTGACCGCAACAATGCGGGGTACGCATTCTGCACGCGCTCAGCCTTAGAGTGACTGCTTACTTGGGCCAAAGAGCTGCGCGTATGCGTGGATTCGAACGCGACCTTCATCTCCAGGGTACAGAGTTCGCGACTTTGCTGTCCATCCTCTACGTCGGCTATATCCTCATGCAAATACCATCGTAAGTGGGTCAGATCCCGACGTACCTTCAGCTCGTTAAATGGTAGCCCAGTAATATGTTGTTAAACTACATCGGAAAGCCGTCACTATACCTCCCAGCATGTATGATCGTCTGGGGTACCATCTCAATCCTGACAGGTGAGTTGTCGGTTACACCCTGCACCAAGCTCCTATCTAACTTCATCCGCAGGAATAACCAACAAGTGAGTCCGAGCGACAGAAGTCAGTCCTTCATGTCATTCGATCCCGACTAATCTCCCCGAATTCTGCCACGGCCAGTTTCGTCGGCGCGCTCCTCACGCGCTTCTTCCTCGGCTTCGTCGAGGCCGCCTTCTTCCCCGGGGCACTCTTCCTCATATCGAAGTGGTACAAGCGCAGTGAGCTCGGCACGCGCACTGCTGTGCTCTACTGCGGCAACATTATCTCCAACGCCTTCGGGGCCCTCATCGCCTCGGGCATCCTCAATGGCATGGACGGGAAGCTTGGTCGCGCCGCGTGGCGCTGGCTCTTCTACATCGAAGGCGCGATGACGATCTTCGTCGCGATATGTGCGATGTTCATCTTGCCAGACTTCCCTGCGACGACGTCTTGGCTGACCGAGGAGGAAAGGATACTCGCGAAGAAGCGGATGGCGGAGGACGCAGGGGTGGGCGACGAGGGCGAGACCGAGGTGGGCGGGCATGTCGCCGGACTGTGGTTGGCTGTGACGGACTGGAAGGTCTGGTGGATGGCGGTCGCGATGACGAGCCAAGTCGTCGCCCTGAGCTTCAACGCGTACTTTCCGACGCTCAGTGCGACGATGGGGTTCGACCCTACTGTCACGTTGCTCCTCTGTGCGCCTCCGTTCGTCTTTACGGCGATTATGGCATTCATCGTGTCTAGGTCAGTAGACACAAAGGGTCTCCGGCTTATTCTCTGCTGACAACCTGTTTCACAGGCACTCCGACAAAAGTGGGGAGAGGTTTTACCATATCGCTGCTCCCACAGTCGGAGGAATTATTGGTTTTATCATCGCAATATGTACCATGAACACTGCCGCAAGATACGTCTCGCTGTAAGTCTCTTGCTGCACTCTGACGTCTGAGCGAGACTTATCTCCACTCCTCGCACAGGTTCCTCATGGCCAACTCGTACTCTGGGTTTGTTGTCCTCTACACTTGGGTTAGCAACTCCTTCCCGCGCCCCCCATCCAAGCGTGCAGTTGCGGTTGCGCTCGTGAACGCCCTATCGCAGACAGGCAACGTCGCCGGATCGTGAGTTCATACGGATTCATATACTACCTCGATTGCTGATGGCTGAACGTCGCTGCGAACAGATACGTCTGGCCGAGCGCGTGGGGCCCCACCTACCGCAATTCGTATGCCATCTGCATTGCGACAGCCGGGTGTAGCATTGCGATGTGCTACATATTCAGGCTGCACCTTGCCCACCTGAACAGACAGCTTGAGAGAGAAGAGCGGGAGAAGGGGATTGTGGAGAAGGGTTTCCGATATCTACTCTGAGCCAGGTACTTACTGAGGCTGTTACTTACTCGCGAATACGATACATACGACGCATTGTCTCTGCCAGTACAGGATTATAGGGCGTGTTTCGTTGACACAGGCCTTATAGCTCAGTGGTAGAGCATGCGATTGCAGTTCACACTTACTGGTATCGCAGGGTCCCGTGTTCGAACCACGGTGGGGCCTCATTTTTGGCAAGTGTATTTTCTTTGACACCACTTGCGATTGGGACATGTACCTGAGCGACGAAGCTGCAGGATCGCAAGTTCCACGAGTGAACGGTTGTTACTTGTACTACCCATCACTACTGCCATCGAAGCAAGGGGGTCCGAACCTCGGGCGCCTCCACTCGCGCAGGTGAGCAGCCTCTATTCTGGAATCTAAGGGACGAGAGATTACGAGCCCAGAGGAAGGTCGAACGTGGCTACTGCAGTGAACAGAGAGGACGGTGTACGTCCTCAGACTTGTGTGCCGAGGCCGGAATACCGTAAGACAGAGCACGAGGGGAGTAACAAGCACTGAAGAAGAGACCCTGGATCCGGAGCTGGAGAAGAGATGGCTTATCCGGAGTCCATGGATGGCAGCGTGTGCGCAGATTGGTAGGAGGAGTCGATATGGATCGCACGTTGGAGGAGATGGCGAGCGCGAAGCACGTGTATTTCGATCGATGCTCTCAGTAACAGTTCGGAGAGGGAAAGAGAGTTCGGAGGGCGGATCGCTCGAGCGCAGCCGTCTGGCCTGGGCTGTCGGGGCAGAGAAAGACATAGAAGAGCTGAGGCAGCGGTTGGGATCCAGGAGCAACCCCCGCGGAAGACGAACGTACGATGCATGTGGCACTGGGTGTAGAGTGGCTGAGACAACTTCGCTCACGTTACGCGCGCCCGTGGTCTCAGGCGCAGCGGACAGTCGACTGCCTTCACCAACCTTCTCTCCGGCCTTCCTCGTTCTCCTCCCATCTCCTCGCCCTCGCCGTCCCCGCCCTCCTCGAGGCCGCCCTCTTCGGCGTCGGCCTCACGCCCATGAACTCCCTCTCCTACCTCTCCCGCCAACTCGATGTCTTGGCCTCGCCCCGAACGCCACCAAGCACGCCTGCCACCGAGCATTCGTCGTTTACTTTCGACGGGGAGCGTCGTACCCGACTCAAACGCTCGGGTTCGACGAGGTCCTTCCAGGTCTCCCAGCCCTCGACTTCTACCGCAGGCTCGTCCCTGAAGCGGTCCTACTCGTCCCCCGCCGAGGTCAACCCGAGCATCCTTGCTTCCGCTACGTCTCTCCTTGCCCCCGCTCTCTCGCGCAAGGCTTCACCGTCCCGACCCTCGTCGCGACGGCCCTCTGTCTCTTCAACAGAGAAGGGCAAGGCCATCCGTCCAAAGGGCGGCGACGCGTCGCCAGCCTTCCGGCACCTGCTTTTCGTGCGCATCATCCTGCAGCTCTGGCATGCTTTCCTTGCGACACTGCGGTCTTCACGAGGTCCACTGCTGCCCCCGGCGTCCCGGTAGAAGACACCGCGGTAGACGACAACTCGGATGAGGAGGAAAAGGACACCGAGGACGAGAGTAGAGACGAGAAGTCGCCACCCCCATCTGTATTACTAGATTCTTCGCAGCCACCTCCATACCAGCCCGCAATTCCATCGCCACTGTCCCAGCACGACCAGTCCTCACCATTGCCCCAGTCCCAGTCCGTATCACCACCGCTGCCGCCCAAGCCCCTGCTGCCCGCAGGTACCGTGTCAGAGAAGCCCTATTCGCTCTCGCTCTCGCTGTCAGATTCCAAGTCTGCCTCCACCGCGCTGACGCATCCAGCTACTCGCTCACGCTCGGTCACCCCTGCGAAGCAGACTCCCTTCCATCAACCGAAGACGCTTGTGCTCGATCTGGACGAGACACTGATCCACTCTACGTCACGACCAATACCGTCCGCGGGCGGATCCGGGTTGTTCGGCTTTGGCGGCAGGAATAAGGGCGCAGGGTACACGGTCGAAGTCGTCTTGGGTGGGCGCAGTACGCTGTACCATGTGTACAAGCGGCCGTTTGTGGATTATTTCCTTCGGAAGGTGCGTGTGTGGCTGCTGTCCTCTCTTCGCCTACCAACAGTATTACCCTCAGGTGTCACAATGGTACACACTCGTTATCTTCACCGCCTCAATGCAGGAGTACGCAGATCCTGTAATTGACTGGCTGGACGCTGGGCGCGGTATTCTGGGTCGTCGTTTGTTCCGTGAGGTGAGTGTTCAGCCTTCTCTGCCAGGTTACCCCGAAACCTTGACTGAGCGCCGGCGTAGTCATGTACGCAGCTCCCGAATGGGTCCTACACGAAGGATCTTTCGATAGTCGAGCAAGATCTCTCAAGAGTTTGTCTCATAGATAACTCGCCTGTTTGTTATGTCATTAACGAAGGTGCGCCCTCATACGTGGGATCGTGTGGTCCCTGGAGGCTGACTTGTCCGACCGATCAGCGAACGGGATACCAATAGAAGGCTGGACCCACGATCCACACGACGAAGCACTGCTCGACCTTCTTCCCGTCCTCGACTCACTCCGTTTCACGAGTGACGTCCGGCGCGTACTCGGGATCCGCGGTTTCTCATGACCCTTCCGTCTCCCTCGCACGCCCGCACCTCGCCTCGTCCGCGTGCGTCCGCCTTCGGACCGTGCGACACGCGAGAGATGCATGCAGTAGGTGTGCGAGAGCAGTTACGATGCAGGCTGACGACCCCCCGATGCCATGTCCCGCGTTCCTCTTGTCGTCCGGATCTCTGGTCCGGGCAAGGTGTCTCCTTCGTTTGTCATGTCGCGTCATTGAACGAACTATCGTCGCATCAGCTAATTATTCCTCAATTTACTGTCATCCTCGCATCTCTCTCCCTCTCCTGCGCCTCCCCTTACCCGTACCCTTATCCCCAATCCCATCCATCACCCCATCCCGGTTTCGCCAGCCTCGCACTCCGATTCCCCCTTCCCGGACCGACAGATATCGATCCGTTGCAAACCGCTCCCCGCCCATATCATCATACCATCCACGGAAGTCGCTCTGTGTCTGTTCTGCTCCTGCCCCCGAACCCATCCCGACGACGCATGCACCATGTTTTCCACTGCACGCATTGAGCTAGTAATAGCACACTAATTGCTTACACGCGGCCCGCCGCTACCTGTATATATGTACGTACATAGCGGTCTGGCCTGAACATCATTCATCATCTCGGTCATCTTATGCTTCCTAGGGAGTCTGAGAGTCATGGATTGTGTGGCTGCTTGTGGGCCCGAGTTTGTGGATACATGTTCTCTTCGCTTCTGGAGGACGGGACCACGATGTCCGCCCGTATCCCTGTTGCGCTCAGAACAGTGCTCCGTACCTCGATATACTCGGATGGTGTACTGACGCAGCTAGTGGTTCCAACGTGTATTGGCTTCGAATTCCATGCGAGTGTCATAGCCTTATTATTACACTACACCGCTGTGGTTACGCACGATAAGCGCACATGGCCCTGCTTCTTACTTCGCAAGTCCTCGCCCGCATAAAGGACGGCGCAAGTCGCACAAGAAAGCTCTATCCTTGAATTCGTGATATATATCAGGCTGCGGGCGGGACAGGGTACATTGCGAAATCGCTTCGTCGTGGGGGTGGAGAGCACTAATAGAACATGGTCGAACGCTAGGAAAAGCCCTGGATGATAATGTACTAACACAGATGTCAATGATTAGACAAGCAGAATGGAGGGCAGAGGGAGAAAAGCGGAAGGGCGGCGGTGGCGGGAAGAGGCAAGACACGAGTGTCCAGGTGACAGGGGAATACTCCAGCAAGGATCGCACGGCCGGTGGTACGACTACATGGCCAGTGCGGCCTGTAGTTCCTTGAGCTGTGCCTCCTCGTCGTCTTCGACCGCGGTTGGCTGCCCTGTGCACAGTGCGCGTGGTCAACATACCGGGATATACGACAAAAAGATAGCGGAGATGAGACGTACTGTGTTCCACTCGGCTCGGTCCTGCGGGGTGGTGTATGGGGACCTGATCTGCCATGAGCCTGTCGTTGAGCTCCTCCTGCTCCAGATCCGCCAACTCCTGCTTGAGCTCGTCCTAGAGGGTTGGGCATCGGCACGTCAGCCACACGGACCCTAAGCGACCTATCAGCAGTATGACGTACGTCGTCGAACTCGACCCCGGTATATGTGCTGGTCGAAATGGCCTCGGAAACCTCGTTCGCGAGCTGTGTCTGCTCCTGGATCTCCGCCATCGTCTGGTCGACCTTGTCGATTGACCTGTTCCGCCGGGAGCCGTCAGTATCGGGGTTCAGGGAACAAGGAGGGCGGACGCACAGCTTGCCATGGATATCCTTCAGCGCGCCTGCGGCCTTCTTCATTGCGGCCATGTTCTCTGCGTTGAAGCTTGCGGACTCGAGCGTGTTGACCTGCATCTCAAGCTGGAAGCGCGTGTTCTGCAGCCGCTCGAGCTCCTGCTCCGTGACCTTCTTCCGTCGCAATGCCGCCGTCGCAGCTATGTCGCACAGCCAGGGTAGTCGTCATACGGGGCACCGCAGCGTGCGAGGGGGCCGCAGGATGGAGGGAGGCCGAAGGAAGTTCAGCATGAGGACCCAGATACACCCCGGGAGGCGGAGAGAGACAAGGGGGCAGCACGACTCACCGGCCTTGTTCGAGACGGCATTCGCCTTCGCCTTCTTCAGCTCCTCGTCAACCTTCTTCTGAAGGTACTCCTCCTTCTTCTCGATCATCTGCAGCTGCTGCCGGAGGGTCACTATCGCGTCGCGCGACGACTGCTTTGCGTCGCGCCGGCCACCGAAGTAACTCATGAATCCGGCCATCATCGTCGTTGGTGTGCGTCAGAGGTCGTGTGTTGTCTGGGGTGCAGGCGTAGGAAGTTGAGTGTATGAGAAAGGGAACAGATGCGGGAAGGAAGAGGAGTGGCAGAGAGGTCAGCGTACGGGAGGGTGAAGCGCCCGATGCGCTACGCCGCTTGCAGAGTCACTGAGGTCACTCAATGCGCCCGATAAGGAAGGTCTCTACGTTTGACTCTTTCTGTCTCTCATCGTCTCGCCCAACAGCAGCGGCGCAGCCCAGAATCCATGATCTGAGCGACTCGGACACCATTCGCAAGTGCTGCAACCTAGCCTCTGTCAGGGTGGCTGCGAGGGCGTGCTGCGTTCAGCAGCGTGCTAGCGCTACGCGAGTT